GCATTTCGGTACATAATATGAGCAAAGAAGCACAGTGCAAGAGTGCAGAGGGGTGCAAAACCAATGGATACTTGTGTACATATGAGGTCTGCCTGCATCGGGATCCACAAAGATCAAACTCCTCAAAGATCCCTAGCGACAGCAAAACAGCACAGGCAGGTGATGACCTCAGAATAAATAACCGTTTTCCCCTGCCACTCTGCCTTCCCACTATAAAACACACAAGATGATTTAGTTATTTCGGTGTAATTACACCAGGGCACCCTTAATTATGGTGAAAACTCTCCGAATTATTGTACCCTGCTTTCAGTTGCTTCCTCTTGCCCCCGCCCCCACATCACCCAAAATGAGAGAAAGAGTCACGGAACGACCTACAGAGTGTGTGAGTACCGCACTGCACTCATTATAAGGTCAAGTGGGGATCTTGACTCAATAAGAGAAAATGGTAACAAACATCAGTAGCTGATGCACTGCAGTGAGGTTGTCACGTGACAAAACGAGGAACCCTCGTGCACCTGCTCCAACGGCGTACAATCTGAGGGTTTCCCCCTGGCTGATGTTGCTGCACCTGCTCCACGAGCTCTTTGGGTAAAGGATGTGGGCTGGCTGCAAGCAGTGTGTGCTGCTCTAATGCACACCTGACATCAGGAGGCAAAAGGCAGATATGTGCCCACACAAACAGACGCAAGTCTATAAATACTTGACCTTAAATGTCAGCGCACAGGAAGAAGAAAAGGATGGGAAGCAGTTTCTCACTAGTGGGTACAATGGGGAAGGGGAGGCGGTCTTAAAATCACAACCACAGATAGTGTAGAGCTCTTTTTTAAAAAAGAGGATGATTGTAAAGAAAACAATAATAATGGTTTAGCTTTTTTTAAAAAAAGTATTGCTTGTACATAGTGTAAACGTATGTATGCTGAGCAGACAGAATACAATAGCATATAAATAAAGCAACCGATTTACTTGGATGAATTTGTTGCTGTTGTTTATATGCAACAAATTCAATGTTTGGTGCTTTTTTTAATGCCATTGTGATTACTGTGAGAAGCTTTGAGTGCAACATTTGTTGTTGGAAAAGCAGAATACAAATATCAAATCAACTCAAAATAAAAAAGCTGACTTCAGAATAAAAGCACAGAAATTCTGAGGAAACTGAGCTTTTCATCCAATATAATTTACTTTCTCTCTCCTTCTCTCTCTATGGTTTTCATGTTCTGTTGCTGCACTTCTGCAGAATCATCACACACAGCTCCAGTGATAACACTTGACTCTCAGTTGTTTATAGCCCTGTCTTTTCTGAAATCTATGGGACAGATCAGCCTTCCCCAATCTGGTGCCCTCTATATTTTGGAGCGTAGCCAATTGGTCAAAGATCACCAGTTTACAGCCCAAAACATGTGGAGGACATCAGGCTGGAGAGGCTAGGACATATAATGATATAATATATTATGTTAAGCAAGTTGGGACAGATCGTAACAGATTATAAAAATACTCCTTTCAGATGCTATTAAACAAGCTGGGACAGATAGTAATAGATTATTAAAATACTCCTTTCAGATGCTATTAAACAAGCTAGGACAGATTATTAAACTTTCATTTAAGATTATATTAAAACTCACAAAAATCATAAGAGATGTAGACGCCCCAAATAATAATCCAACTTCCCCAAAAAGAAAGTGTAACAGTCATTGAAGAATGCCAAATTACAACTCACCAAAATGGTGATAGAACATAGCCTGTTTGTTCAAATTCACAAGAGTTCAATGGGGTTGACTTTCTGATGCTTAAACTTGCAGTTTCAGACACAAGAGGGTGTAAGCAGGCAGTGCATTCAATGGTCAGGGCAAGGAGGTGCTCCACTGCTTTTCACACATCTCCTTGCCTTTTCTTCAAGATGTCAATTCTCCACCCTGCTGCATCTAGATTCTAGACCAACAAATACTCTTAGATAGAAAGGAATAGGTTAGGATTTCATGAAGACTATGCTTGAGTTTTAAGGAAGGCCCACGGATAACTCATAGATTTTCAAGCTCTAGGCTTGTCAATTGTTTTAATCTTTTAAGTCCCTGAGGAAAGTTTGCTTATCTGTTTGAAAGACACTTAAATGCACTGTTTTGCACCCTTACAAAAAAAAAACCTTCTAAGAATAATATTTAACGAGCATTCTAGGGCAAATGAGTTGCTTCTTATTACTGTTGCAATGCTGAGGTTTAAGCAATGTAGCTCTATTTTCTCACATTGACCTCAGATGAACATTAAGTTGTACTGATCTTCAGACAGGGAAGTTACACTAAATCCAGACCCTTACAAACTTCCCTTACAAACCCTGACAGAAGTTCAAAGAGCAAATGCTGGCTGCCTTCTCTAGCAATAAATTTTATTTGTTGATTGTTACTGGGAAGCTATTACACTTAATTCCTGGTGAACTACTATGTCCTCAAAAGACCCTGCTGTGACAAAAAACTCTGCATTAGTACAGGATATGAGGATTCTGTATCAACAAAGAAATATAAAAGGTGGTGGTGGAAATTGTTAAGTTCCATAGCAAAATAAGGATTCTAGAATTTTGCCCAAGATGATTCACCTGAACTGATCTTTCAAGAGAATAGAGCAACCGTTACTATTTAACAGTGCTGCACTTCATGGACACTGCAAATTCCCCGATTCAGACCATATTTTCTACAAGAGAAGTAATTCTCTAAATGATTTGAATCCCACCATGGTTTCAGGACCAAACCTGCCTCAGTAGCCCTAGTGGTGCAATCTGTGGCAGGTGTTGATTCCTTGAGTTTAAATCCTAGGATGCGGGGCAATGAAATTTGCTGCTCCAAAATGTGGCTTTTGGGTTCCAACTCACTTGCCCTGCTTTTTAACATCTTCATCGGGGCTGGGGAGCCTGTGGCCCTCCAGATGTTGCTGGACTACAATTCCTATCATTCCTGATCATGAGGCATGCTGGAGAGCACCAATGAAAAGATGGCCTGCAACAACACCTAATGGTCCACAAGTTCCCCATCAATGATCTACACCAAACTGCTGATTACATTCAGAGATTTGGGTTGTGACAACTCTATAAATTCTTTCTCCCTTTTCCACCAGATTCTAATGAGGTGGTGGAACCTGTAAGCCGGCATCTCACATCACAAATATGAAACGTGTACTATATAACATGAAAATATTGTTGCCTGGGTGTTCTGCTGAGCTGGAATTAGGTGTGAAGCCTGCTTTTGATGGGGGTGTCCTTTCCTGGGGAACTGGGCTCACAGCCTGATAGTTTCCCTGGATCTGGCACTGATGCCTGATGCCCAGGAGACATCTTCAGCAACAGAGCCTTTGGCTGCCTACTGCTCACCTTGCCCAATCCCATACCACAACCAACAATATGATGTTCAATAGTTTCTTTCCATCTACCACGGCAATTATAATCTAGGCCTAAAATGTCATTGAGACAAGGGTGGCGCTGTGGTCTAAACCACTGAGCCTCTTGGGCTTGCCGATCAGAAGGTTGGCGGTTTGAATCCCCATGACAGGGTGAGCTCCCGTTGCTCGGTCCCAGCTCCTGACAACCTAGCAGTTCAAAAGCACAACAAAAAAGTGCAAGTAGATAAATAGGTACTGCTCCCGCGGGGAGGTAAATGGCGTTTCCGTGCACTGCTCTGGTTTCGGTGTTCCGCTGCGCCAGAAGCGGCTTAGTCATGCTGGCCACATGACTCGGAAAAACTGTCTGCGGACAAACGCTGGCTCCCTCGGCCTGTAAAGCAAGATGAGCGCTGCAACCCCAGAGTCGTCTGCGGAGTGCCATGTCTGCACATGTGTGGGTGGCGAATCAGCGCTTCTGCGCATGCGCAAAGCACAATTTGGTGTTTTGCGCATGCGCGAGTGCCGAAACCCAGAAGTAACCCATTCTGGTACTTCCGGGTTTTGGCACGTACGTAACCCAAAAAAACACAACCTGAAGCATCTGTAACCCGAGGTATGACGGTATATGAAGTATGATGAACACCTTTGTTTGGCTGTTGCCTTTTGAAGCTTGGGCTGCTGTTGGAATTCTGTTCTTCTCTCCTCCAGCCAAGCAGACCTCTCTAGTTAATGAAGACCAAGGAAGAAGAGGCAAACTTCAGCACATCTACTCTCGAGTCATTCTTTACAGTCAAGATTTTGATTCAGGCGTTTTCTGGAAGACTGGGATTGAAAACAAACAGCCGTGTTCCTTAGGAAGGAAATATGATCTGACTGTGTCAGGAAAGGGAAACTGTTTGGAAGTCTAGACTGTCCCCTTCCCCTCCCAGCCTCTCCTCCTCCAGGGTGTTTTCATTTATTCCTATAAAGGGGGGGGGGAGAGAGAGAGAAATTGAGATAGTGCAAGACCGTTTCTGCCTCCACTTGTCATCAAGAGACAAAGCCGTTTGATGCACTGCAACTCAGGTGCAGCTGAAGCATGAAGAAGGGAAAGAGGAGGCGAGTCAGGAGAATTAAGGAACGAGGTCTGGAATGAATGGAACTTAACGTGCAGAACTGTGTGAAATCAAATGGCAAGGAATCAAACCAAAGGCATCAAAGGGAAGAAACCAAGTCAGGAAGCAAAACAGGAAGCAGCTAGCTTGCAACTAAAGTAACGTAACAGCAAGTTGGTTTGTATTCACAGCACAATAAACAAAACAAGACTAAAATCAGCCCTAGGGGATAGTGCAGGCTAATGTGGGTGGGAAACCCATGCAAATGAAGAAATCATAAATTCTGTTAGTGAAGAACAAACATCACCAGTGATCACTGACAAGGAGAGTAAATACAATAATATCCTGCACTTACATAACTCTTTATTGTATCCAGATAACTTTCACATACATTATCTCAGAAAGCAACACAACAACCCTGTAAGGTTGGTCCTCATTAGTGCAGCTGGGAAACAAGGAAATAACAGTTCGTCTTGGGCCAGGAAGAGAATTCTTTACTGTAGTGAATTGCAATCAGGGTACACACCCTTTTCTCACTGTGCTCTATCAAATTTCAAATCCAATTGCGGCAAAGAAAGGATGCTTGATGCTGCCAGGCAGGCGCAGAGAATAGCAGATCAATAAAATGGATTTAGCAGAGTTTATGAAAAATCCAGGGCGAGGAGAACACAAGGCAGAAAGGGACACTTGAAGGCCAGAAGAAAGTTGTTGTTGTTGTTGTTGTTGTTGTTGTTGTCGATTTAATCGCTTATATCCTTCTCCTCCTTGTGTTGAGCCCCAAGTGGTTGAGAGATGCTCAGGAGAAAAGAACAGAAAGGCCAAAGTATCTTCTAGGCAGAATCTCAAAGAGGACGGCAAGTAAATGTTCTCACAAGGCAAAAGACCTTGGAAGACATATATTGTCACACGAGTTTCAGACCTAAAAGGAGAATAAGCAATTCAGCTATTAACTGTTCTGAAGAGAGAGAGAGAGAGTCAGACTTCAACAGTTGTTTTTGTCATCTTGCTAATTCTTTCAGGAACATGTGAGCAGAGAAAACTGAACATATTATTCTATTGGCTCATAGCATTACAGTCATTTGAAATGCCCCAGATTAGCTTCCCAGAAACAGGCACTGGAATCGGGTACTTTATGAGACAATATCATACTATTGCAACATGCATTTCGTTTAGTGGCAGATCTCAACCAAACACCTAAAATATTCGCTCCAAGTAAGCAATGCTTTAGAACTGCTTTGAAATACTGTTCTGGTTGCATGTGTCTTATCTTCATGTGTTCAAACAAATGCCCTTAAAATATGCTGCCAATGTGGCGGTTTCGTGGAAGTTGTAAACAGAGTGGAGAAAACATGGTTTCTGTTACACACTAGTCTAGCCACATTAGCAGGCCAAAACACGCAGGCATGTTTATACATATTACAGACCCATTTAGCTAACTGCTGACTCTATCCCCAATTGCTCTTTGTCTTCTGGTTCCAAATAAACCAAGGGCTGAACTTCATGGTACCACTGCAACACTGAGCATTCTGTCTTGTACTGCCATTATTAAATGCGATGAGGCTGTTTCAAATCTGGGGCATCTTCAATTAATTCTATACTAGGAAAGGGCAGAGACAAATCCTCTGCCCGTGTGCCTGACAATACTGTGCCAATAATTTTTTTTTAATATAAAATGTTTAAAAATGGCACACAACTAAGTCAATGAGGTTTAGGAGGTCAATTTTCGTTTGGTAAACAAGGTTAGCAAATTGCAACAAAGCTGTCCAACCGCAGTAATCAGCATCTGGGTAAATGGCACCCGCTCACACACTCTCCGTTGATAGGCTATTAAATAGAAATAGCTATTTAACTGAACAGTCTTCTGAAGAAAAGGCTTAAACTAATTCAGTTTATGCCACCATTAAGTCTTCCTGTCAGGTCAAAAGCACAACATCATATGTATATTAACAAATACAGAAGCTGAAGCTGAGTTCTTTGTGAGGGACTTTTGAAACGTTTTATTACAAAATGCAATAAACAAGGCTGAAATCTGAGTTGAAGGCCAGTATGCTGGAAGGGGTGGGGAGATGCACCATATTACTATAGCTTCCCTCCCCACAAACACATTGCTCCTTCTAGAAAAAAGATACAGGTACTCCTGGAGGTGGGTTTGTCATTTTCCACTTCAAATGACAACCACAGAGGCTGCATTGTGTAATGAAAGGAAAATAAATCTGTCTCATACAAGCAAGCAGCTACACATAATGCGTACTACTGAACTTGCACATATAGGACAATGTTAGAAACAGTAGTAGGTGTGTATGTTTAACCTGGTTGTGTGCAAAGTGGAAAAGACGTAAGGACAGAAGACAAATTTGTGGCCAGCGGTCTTTTATTACAAGCCAGGAATAAGCCATTTTTAAAAGAAACAAACAAACAAATGGCACAATGTTTTCAATAATTTTCCAGGTTACGCTCTTAACTGGAAAAGGGCAGGAAATGTGTATTTGTGAACCAAAACAGCCACAGAAAATTTCGTAGGTCATGGAAAAATTTTGAACTCAGAGGGAAAAAATCAGACCTGGTTATGATTGAGTAAAGCATTCAATACATGTTCAAGCAATTGCTTGGCTGAATCCAAAGGTCACTCTAAAGACCAAATTCCTAGAAGGAGGCTCAGATTCTTGTTGACAAAAAAAAAACCCAACCTTAAGCCCCACGTCAAGGTTTATGAGAGGTTAGGCCACCTCGCAAGCAGCTCTGACAGCTTGAGGAAGGCATCTGCTCTTTCACAGTGAAAAATGCTGAAATATTTGTTGATATATATAAAATATGTGAAAATCTCTGTGTATTCTCCAAATTCATGAGGTTTATCAGCAGCATGCGCCTGGCCATTACTCTAAAAAAATAAATAATTCAAATCCCTTATATTATAGGGTCACACAAGCAATGATTTACTCATGGCCAAGGAACAAATAATTCAATAAATGTCTTTACAGCTGGTTAAATGCTGAAACAGAATGAGGCATTGAGTAACTGCAACTGCAGCAGCCAAGGAGAACACTCTGTCATATGAGAGTTCTTACACTGCAAGACACCAGAGAACCCGATTGCTCGTCCATTGTTACTTTACCATTTAATGCCATACACATTTGAGATCATCATATTCCTCAGTTTTCCTGTGCTGATTTGATTACAGAGGATTTGTAGCTTGCGCAATTAATTAAACACAGCTAGGTTTGTGTGAGGTCAAGTGAACAAATGAATCACTGAAGAGAAGGGAGTCCTGAGTGCAGACAAATTTATTCAGAGAACAAGGGTTCTCCAAACAGGAGTCTAACTTAGCCCTGAAAACTCTACCTTCCCATTTTTGCCCTTGCAAAACAGTAATTAATGTCATATTGTGGAATGCAACCTTAAGGTTCTCTCATCGGGGGAAAAAATCTCTAATAAACAGACAGAAATATTAATGCAGCTATTCTGGATAACACTCCATTTTTCTGCTGAGTAATTGGCTAGCATGTCTCTCCTGCAATGTTTCAAGAGCAGGATGGGGAAAAGTATTGACATCTGAATACTAAAATGTTGTGGGCAGGATTCACCAAAGGTGCCCCATCAGCAGAAGTCCTGCACAAAGACTTCCCCTGTGAGCTCCCCCAATCTGACTCAGGGGTAGATATAACCCCCAGGACAGTGTGCAGGGGTAGCAGAGGGGCAGTAATTCTGTCTGGCAAATTCTTGCACGGACAGAATGTTTGTAATAGTGTGACACTGAATTCTACCTTGAACATGTAATCTCTGTTTGGTTTTTACACAAGAACCTCAAAGTAAAAGCAACTAGATAAAACTGAAACAACATTAAAGAAGACTGTAGTGCTGTTTATTTCTCTCTCTTTGAAAGCAACCACTGAAATTTCAAAAGGCTGGCCCAAGCAATTTTGTACTTGCATTCAGATGGAGACGTGTAGACTTGACCTGCACAAAGGACAAGTCCCACATTAATCTTTGCTAGTCCAAATGGACTAACAGGATCAATGATAGTAGTCCAGTTAAAATGAGGGACTGTTGAGTCAAAATACCTCTTTTGTCACCCAGGACTTCTTTCTCCACTTCCTATTTACTACAGCAGTAGAAAACCATCACAGGTACAGATCTTGGCAGTCAAGCCACTATAACATACCATGTCCCCTAACCTCTTAAGCAGGTGTCATCACATCTCCACGCATGCAAATCCCTAACGGCGCACAGTGGCTCTCACAAGCAGATATCTACAGCCCACCCAGAGAGGTTAGCAGAGGTTCTCTAAGTGACCAGATGCCCCATCTATTTCATGGAGCAATTTGAGAACCACAGACTATAACTTTAAAGCCATATGAAAATTTCTAGAAGACTTAATTAGGGTTTTGTTTGGTGTTTGTTTGTTAACCCCGTTTCAGTTGACTTTCTTCAAACAGCTCTTCCGATGCTCTTCAAAACAAGAGGAGTTAAACACTACAAGGAATCAGTTTTAAAACCAGCAATGTTGCACAACGCTTTCTCAGGCCCACAGCAGTGTAATGTGAACAGAAAAGAAGAAGAAAACCAGAAATTTGACGTTGTTTCCTTAGAAGTGGTGGTTTGAGTAACTAATATTCCACAGCTTAAATCAGCACCATAAATACTTAAAACCAGAAAACCAGAAAGAGCGGGGGAAATGCTGAAACAAAAATACACTCTGAAACATTCCCATCTTCGTGGCAGCAAAGTGTAGAGGGAGGATCACTACCTTTCTGCCACCATGACAAATGTTATGTTAAACCCTTTGCTAAGGGAACAGGGGATCCACTACACCCTCATTAGGGAGTTGCACACATTTCCCCCAGTGTGCGACTCTATGGAGGTCATGACAATGAACTCATACTCCCTTCTTTCTCTGCTTCTGCCTTAACATGGGAAGCAAGCAACACTTGATTTCCCCTTACTACCTTCCCAGTTGACTTCCGAAGCACAAAGATAGCAGTGCAGGTGGAAATCTGTGAGTCCCACACATAACATTGCAGTAAAAGTGAGGAAATTGGTGTTCTCTCTCTCTCTCTGCCTGTCTATTGGCTAAGTTGGTTGGGGCTGTAGAGACTAACACTGTATGCAAATTATATTATCTAGTTATGTTTTTAAGTGTCAGGCTGCTGTGCTTCAGAGGTGTTGAGTGGGTGGGTGTTTAAAATTCATCTTGTTCTTTGCCCTGTGTCCCCTTACCTGGCTTTCCATGCGGGGAGGGAGTTCTACATTCTGTTTTCCACAATATTTAGATTCCTGCTCTGAGATTCAAAAGTTTAAGAGACCATGAGCTTGTTTGGAGGTTCTAGCAGGGGAGCGCAGCTATCGTATACCCTTGACCGAAGAACGGTACACTCCTTCTATCTGGGATGGTCGTCCTCTTCCACCGAGCGCGCAGCTTCGGGAGGGATGCACATGGAGCGGTGAGGGAGGAGGGGACACCCGCCTAGCCAGCCAGATCAGCCGAATCAACCCTGGCGATCAATGGGGTGACAGATGTCGCAGCCAGATCGCCCCCCCCCCAACCTGCAAAGGAACCCACTAATGGCTCCGGAACAAAGAGGGGGAAGTGGCGCAGTGCTGAGAGTCAACTGCTTCTTCCGTGGAGTGAAGCCGCACAGCCGTTGCCGGAGAGCGCTGCCTTTTTCCTGGGACAATTTGGCTTCTAAAACAATCACCCGTGAGTACTTAAATTTCGGACAATTGGACTCTAAATAAGGACTTGCGTGCAGAAAGGAAAATTGGACTTAAAAGTTTATTTCAATTTGGCACTGAAACGGGAAGGTCTAAACAGGAAGTCAGCCTTCCGTTTCTTTGTAGATAGATTAAAGCAAAGACATGGCAAACTAGAGCTCAGAAAAGCGCTTGTAAAGGACTAACTTTCATCATTTAAGATTGTTGAACCCCCTTCGGAAGCAGGAGAAGAGGGGGGATTTTTTCTGAACTGTTTAAACCTGTAGAAGTGAGTGTAAAGTAAAGTAACTTTCCACCGTCTTGATCCTGGAGCGGGGTGTCAGGACTGACGTTTTTTGAAGCTCATTGACCAGAGACAAACATTTTTGACAGATAGCTAAAAGAAGAGAAACATAGTGATTCCATTGTTCCCCTTCGCATTTTAAAGGAACAAATATTGACAAAATATCTGAAAAAGGAAACTTTGTTGTTAGATTTGTCTTTAAAAGAAAAGAATAAATAGAAGTTTTTCCCCTAGAGGGGAAAATTCTGAATCGGGGAGCTTGCAGCTGTTACAGATTACGATCGTGGGAATAGACTTCTGACCTTGCAGGACAATGTATTCAGAAGCTCTGCTGTGTGCTCTCTGTAAAACAAGTGCCCTACTGGAACAGCTACATGAGAAGACGGACTTTCACGCTTACACGTGGACTTACACGCTGAAGACCTCCTTCAAATCAGCATATTGCGGTGGCACCCGCCCCTTTTCCTCCAGGGCCACCCTGGCCACAGTCATTCTTGGTTCCTTTCCTCCCAGGCAGTGTTCTAAGCAGTAAGCTGACCCAAAGGTGAGCGACCGCTGATGCCATGACACCACTGGGTCATGTAGTGCCAGCCAGCTCATTCCTAGTATTATTGGGGGTCCCGCCAGCGTGGCCACGTGAAAGGCCATGGTTTCCGTGTGCCTGGAAACACTCATCCGCGTTGGCGGAGTCTAGTGTGTCACTTCCCCTCCCAGTAGTTCCCTGCCATCAATGGTGGTCACCTGCAAGGGGAAATCTAGTGGCAACAGGTGGAGCTGGTGCTCCAGGGCGAAGTCTCTACTGAAGAAATTACATGAGCTGCCCGAATCAAGCAGACCATTCACCTTGACTGGGTGCCCATTTGGGAGTTCTAGCACCACTTCAATGGCTATAGCTGCTTTGGGAGGGTCAGGCCGGGGCACTTCTATTGGTCGCTGGCCTGGCTGCTGCCCCTGCTGGTTGGCAGCCAGGCTTTCTCGTTTCCCTGAACCGGCCCCTCCTCCCCCTTCTCATCATGGCCTGCTGTCCCCATCATGCCTTGCCAAGCCTTTCGTTGGGGACAGACCCTCGCAAAATGTCCTGGCCGCTGACAAAGGAAACACTTCTTGGTAGTTTTCCACTCCTTTCCCTCCTTTTTCCGGACTTCGCTAGCGTTTGAAACTTCGCGCGCACGCGCTCCATCAATTTCCATTGGCTCTGCCACCTGGGAAGGCTCCCTCGGCATCTCAGGAATCCGGTTGCCATGGAAACGCTCCCCCCTTATCTCCCGCCTTTCCTGAGCCCGCGCTTCCTGGCGTACACCAATCCCAAGCACAGTCTTTGTGAGCTCATCCATCGACCGCTCTGGACAACTCGTCTTTCACTTCGGGAGCCAAACCTGCCTCAAACAGCATTTGTACTGGTTCAGAGCCCAGGTCCCACCCGAGCTTGTGCACTAACATCGCAAAACGCGACCAGTAGCTTCTGACGGACAGGCTCCCCTGCTTGCACCCCAGCAGCTCCCTCCGTGTCACACTTTGCTCCACCTCGCTGGAGAACATGGTGTCCATTGCCTGGTAGAATTTTTAAAGATCTTTTAATGCATCATTCTCCGTCGCCATCAAGGGCCTGATCCATTCCCGTGCCCCATCCTGCAGATGTCCAATAATGTACGCCACCCTCTCCCTATCATCAGCAAAGTCATTTTTCTGCAATTCCAAAGCGTATTGAATTTCCGTTCGGAAAGCATTGTAGTCTTGGGGCTTCCCCCCAAACTTATTTACCAGCCCGGGGACCTTCCTCCCTATCGGGGTGGCTCTGACCTGCGCATCCTGAGCCTGCCGCGCCGACAAGGTAGCGACATGTGCCTCCAGGTCTCGATTCCTCTCGACCAGACTTCGCACCATGGCTGCTTGCTCTGTCTCTCTGGCTGGTCCTGTCTGGCTCATCGTGCTGCCTTCCCCGGGCTGTGCACAAGCAACGTCAGGGACTCTCGGATTGCTGTAATGGTTCCTAAGGGGGTTGCTTGTGTGTAAGCAGGTGCCTATCTTGCTGGCTGGGTGCAAACACCTGGCTGGGCTGCCAAAGTGAACCTTCTCTGTCCGGACAGCCACTCGCCCGTGGCTGACTCAATCGCTGGCAGAATCCGTGAGTGGGCGTTTCTTAAACTTCTTCCAGCAAAGAAGTTCTTTGACGCCTAGTCTCCGCCTACCCTCTCTGCGTGGAAGCCTTCTGCGCAGGGAGGGCGTGGGCAACGGAGGACCCCTAGTCTCCCCGCTGGTCCCAGGCAAGGAGTCATGGGACCGCCTCGCCACTTCCCCCAGCTGCTCCCATTCTCCACTGGTGCTACGCTGATTCTCTTCCCCAGAAGATGGGCTGCTTCTCCCGATCCCTGGACGCCCTCTGGAATCCCTCTGGCTTTCGCGCTCTCCCTCCAGTACTGATGGCAGTTCCCTGACAACACATGAAGTCAGAAACTGACGAAGCAAAACCCTTTTCAAGGGCAATTGTACTGATGGCTTTCAGTTAGTTTAAAAGAGAATTAAAAGAGAGGGGAAGGGAAAATTCTAAATTCCACAGCTTCGCCACATCAAAACACAATGAGTGATTACATATATACTTGGCACGGAGCTTACATCACTGTTTGTATGGTTTAGATACTCTAGAGAACGGCCTACACGGCGCGATAGCTTGTTGACCTCATGTAAATGATCTCATCTTGCAGAATGAGATCACGAGAATGTGATCAGCTCTGCTGCATTCATGTAAGTGGTTTTGCAGAGCTGACAGCTCACCCCAACATTATCACTGCTTGGTCACACGGTGGGCAAGGGGGCAGAATAGAACAATACACGTAAACGAAAAGGAGATGTCTCAGCCTTTAAAGGAACCATTTGACCAGCACATTCTAACTACCATGATGAGAAGCCTCCCCCTAAGGGTCTCTGAGCCAATCATGTGAGCACAGTTAAAACACAAAGTTTCAAGATCAGATCTGGGACTCTATATAAAAACTCGCTGAACAACAATGAGCTCATTGTGACTTCATTCGGGCTGCTAATTCTCTTCAGCCTATGAATAGTGAAAATTGGTTTCAAGGCAAGAGTGGGGGGGGAATACCCTCGGTTTCTCACACCTAACTAATTCTCTGCCTCAGGCCTTCCATTGCTGGGGCTGGTGTGCTCCACTTCGTACTGCTGCAGCTTAATTCAGCATTTGGGAAGCATATGGTTGAGGGAGCACTGAAGTCCAATTTTCTAGTTCAAGGTAGGTATCCATGTTCGTCTGCCGTAGTCGAAACAAAATAAAAAAAATCCTTCCAGGTGCACCTTAGAGACCAACTAAGTTTGTTATTGGTATGAGCTTTCGTGTGCATGCACGAAAGTATTCTTCAGTGTATCCTTCTGTGTATCTGAAGAAGTGTGCATGCACATGAAAGCTCATACCAATAACAAACTTAGCTGATCTCTAAGGTGCTACTGGAAGGATTTTTTTTATTTGTTTTCAAAAACCTGACAAAGAGAGACTTTTTATCCAAGAGCAATTTACAGCGTTAATACTGCAGAGGTTAAAGAGGAGGTTCCCTTTTCGTGTAAAATGCTTGACATTACAATGGTTTTCAATTCTCAATAGCTGAAGTCTCTCTCCTCCACCCCTTCCATGCAACCACCATCCATTTCTGTAGCTGCCTATCATCTGTTCAGGAGTGCATATACCTGGGAAATATGCAAGGGTAACTTCAGGGCAAATATCAGGCCTTTTGAGCATGATATGCATGAATCAACTTTGTTTCTGGAAGATTTCCTAGGTGATACAACAATGCAGTGGACAATAGTTTTCACAGCAGCACAACAAACAATGACTTGGAAGGATCTTTGCATTGCAACAGTATTAGCAACTGAAAGGCACTGTCGGCTACTCTCTCCTCTGCTGGCCCCCCTACCCATCTGTAAGCATCCTTTTACTGCCCCAACCCCTTCCCCAAAGAAAGCTTGCTAGCCGAAACGAGAGAAGATAGGTAACGTGAAAAGGGGAGTAGGAATTAAGGCAACTGAAAAGGACAGCAGCACAGCACACATGCTTACCTGTGTGTCAGCCTCCTTGCTAGATCAACTCAGAAGGGGATGGACACTGTGTTAGATATATAAGCTAGGTGCCAAGTGGCTCTTTAAAGCAGGGTTACAGTCGCCAAAACAAAATGCCTAGTTGCCATTTTTTCAACACAACTTTCTGGTTTCTGAAATTCATTCTGATTATGCAGATAAAATATAACCAATAGAATTCTACAGGATGTGTGGCTAGAGTGTGAAAACAGTCAAGATCCAAGGATCCCCAGGCATGCACCTCTAGATGGTGGAGACGTCAGGCACCATCCTGATGCACGGGCATCTTCACTTGGTTCCAAAGTGGCCAATTTTGAAAGCTGGGGGCACACCAAGCAAAGTTGGGGCAAAGCCCCTGCTGCAACTCCTATTCATACCAAGCCAGGGCTATGAATCTGAGGAGAAGAAGCCATCAATATTACATTAGTTGCATTACATTGGCTCCATTTACCCTCATTCCAACTGTCAGGACCAAGCTGCTCCTTCCAGTCTTCCAGCTCCCCAACCTAAGCCGTGTAAGTACAGGATCCCAACAGTGGCTGTGAGAATGGCCCCATCCTATATCCCACGTAACCTTCTTTTCAAAGGACAGTCCTTATTTGAAGTGCTATCAGAGGACAGTCCCCCTTTACAAGTAGAGCTTGATTTGAAGCTTTCCAGTCCAAGGGGGGGGGAAATAATCGTAAGAAAGGAGAACAGGAGTCTTGAAGTCACCCATCAGCAACACTAGGACACCAGACTGAGCAGGCACACAGATAAAAAATCAGTCACAATCTTCCCTACTACAGTGGCATGCATTGTATTATTATTATTATTATTATTATTATTATTATTATTATTATTGCATTACAGCAATTATTTCCAAAACTGCATCTACAGATATATATTAGTACATGCTGATTTTATGGGAAGCTGTTTTCCTTGTTTGTTCTCTCTTTTGGCAATGCGTATGTGTCCCCCAATACTTGTCAAAACCTTGGAGTCCATTTGTGGCCAAGACAAGGAGTGAAGGCTAAGGAGTTACTGGCTAAGGACTTGGTCCTGGCTCTGAACCTGATGCTGATGGTCAGCGGACCACTGAAACCAATGCTGGCAGGCAAGAACCACTGAACCAGAGCTCACAGCATAAGGGACTATAGAAGTGCAGACAGGTCCCTCATGGGTGGTGAACCAAATGCCTTGCATGTCACCTTGCAACAACAGGAAGTGCACCAGGTGGGGGATCATAGAACACAGAAGGGCCCAACTTCAGGCCAACAAAGACAGACTAGGCCCAAGTTCACTTTCAACCCTTGTTGGAAAAAGTTGCTAACTAAAAGTCCTCTTTTATGCCTTCAAGTGGACTTCAGCCATGAAGTCACTGGATTACATAGGACTACATACTCTCAATCTAATCTTCCTCACAGGGTTGCTGAAAGGGTAGCATGGGAGAAAGGCCATGTACACTGCCTTGAGTTTGGTGGGGAAAACAGGGGATGAAATTGTGACACACTTATAAATGAATGGAGCAGCAAGGATTCAAGTTGCATAGAAGAGTCCTGTGTACACTGATGATCTACCAACGCAGCTGGTCCACTACAAATGGCATCACCTGAACCATTTTTATTTTATCCCAAATGAATAAGCACTGCACACACAGCTTCATGCACCACAGGGTGCTGTGACTTACTATTTCCAAATTGTAAAGCGGTTGAAAATGTTCAACAAGTGGAAAGAAACCTATTGTTTTCCCAATCTCCAGCAGTTCCCTTGACTCATGTCAATGTTATCATTGTACTATTGGAGCTGACAGGTATTGGCAAGAAAATGAGAGTATGGAAAGCCATTAGCCTGTGTCTGATTTGATACCCTTTCTTTTGTTGAATGGAAAAGAACAGCACAGTGCAATTCTGCACTATTACAGTAAGTCAAAAACCTGAAAACAATTTTATTTTTTGAAAAGTACTTTCCCTAGGTTTTCCAAACTAAGAAATAATGAGACCAATTTCCATGGCACATCATGCTACATTTTCCAGAAGTACAACAAATATTTACTGTAAACAAGCAGCAGGCAAATTTCAGTAATGATTATTCAGGGAAGTCATAACCAACCTTTTCACCATTATTTTCCTTTTTTTTTTTTTAAACCAAATGACTTTTCCTGTTGCCCTGAATCATGGTGTATAGAAAACAAGCCTGAAAGATTTTAGCAACAGGAAAGAAAAAGATGCAGGAGGTTTGTTTTGCCAGCAGTGAATATGCAAACCTCACTCTCTGGTTCCCTACACCCAAAATACTTTTGCATATCCTGCCTGGTGTGGGAAATATTCTGCAGCTGCAACCCTGCTTTATCCAAGACTTCTCTGCCTGTAACATCAATTTTGAGAGGAAGAAGACAGTACCACATTGTAGGCACGTAAAATATGCCACATAGGCATATATGCCGAAGTTTATCATAGGCACTTCAGTTCTCACTGAAGTACTTAGAGCATGATGGGGATCTTTATGAAAATAATCTCCAAATTATTTCCCTCTTGGGGTGTCAAACTATTATACTCTCTCTCACTCTCACTCTCTTAATTCTGTATCTAGGTCTTATGCTTCCAAATGTGCCCTGGCAACAGATGCTTAGAAATCATACAGATAGAAGCTTGCCTTGATTGCTTTTGACTTTGCTCACAGTCCAGACATTTTCATTTGCTTGGTCTCACATTTCCAGTCAGATGGTTCTGCCACTACGTTGCACCATGCTGACCTCCCTGCTGCCTTGCCCCTCCACCTCTCCCTCTTGGTAACCTGCAGCAACACACGACCTTGAGAAGCCTGATCAAGCACTGCAGTCCCACCCCTGCCACTGCTGGAAGTAAGTCTCACTGAGTTCAGTTGAGTTTACTGCAGGTCAATGGGTAAAGGACTATAGCCTTAAACTGCAAAATTTACTAACTTCCAGTTAGCAAGTCCTATCAAACTCAGTAGGACTTACTTCTAAGTAGATATTGTGCCATTAAGTTACGAAACTATTAAAATTTTCTGCTAGTTTATTTTCAGCACAAACTATTGTTTGTACTCTGGGGATAGGAGGAAGTAAGGTCAGGGGAGAATATGAACTGGGATTAGGAATGAGAGGGAAAGAGGAGTTGAGTCAGTCCCCTCCGACTGAATTCCCCTAAAAAATCCCAACGTTCCAGGGAACACGATAACAACTATTGGATTACACTACAGGGTTGCCATGAATTAGCTCTCCCACCAGCAATGTGGGTGTAACAAAACTGGGCTACTTTGCAGAGTGGGTTTAACCAATGTTCTCATGTTTCCTTACAGGAGAAACAACTGGATTTGTATTTGTATTGGCTAGGTGATTTTCTAAATATATAAAACTCACAAGTGTCAAGACTTGAACAGGAAACTTCCAACTTTGCTGCTATCTTTTGCATAAGGGTGGAAATGTTCCTACCCCATAACACCTACACAAAACTTCTGGATTTCTGAATTGTTTTCTAGGAACAGCAATCGCTTTGCCACCAAGGACAACCGGGCGGGGGGGGGGCAGGGAGAGAAATAAACCAAGAAGCCCTTTCTTCAGACAATGGGTGTGTCAGGCTCTTGTTTTTATCTCTATGGATTACAAACATCTACCACTGTTTTGACTATACTCAGTAGCTAAGAACCCTGATAGTTGATAGCAGGCTCAGTTCTCAAAAAAGCACTGGAAAGGATACAGCCTGCACATTTTGCCTCCTGTGTCCGCTTCTGTAAGGGCTGGGGACTTTGGCCAGAAAATGTAAGGTGGGAATCTGTGGGATTCTAAGGAGCAAGGCTAGAATTTGGGTAAAACCCAGGAAATGAGGCAGAGAAATCTGCCTTTCGCAGAGCCAGATCATCTAGCCCAATACTGTCGACCCTGACTTGCAACAGCTCTCCAGGGTTTTGGCAAGGGATTTCTCACAGCCCTACCTAAAAATGCTGGGGGGTGACCCTGGGACCTTTTGCAAGCAAACCAGTTGCTTCATCACCAACCTTTAGCCATTCCCCAATAAGCTTAAAAACACATCTGGAGGCAGGCCTGCCCAAATGTGCACAATTGATGTCATTTCATGTCATAAGATAATCTTCATGATTTCTCTATATAGGCAAAACCGTTAACTTGGCACAATGTGACCTAGCCAGTTTTTTAAACACCAGAGAGGTGTGGCCTCATGCAGAAATGGTTATAAATCAGGCATGCACTATGCCTATCCTCACTGCCTTAAATCACCAACTGCACAGCTCTTCTAAAAACCAGGAGGTGAGGCAGGATTGCCTTCTTAGTGGAAAAAAGAGAGGAGAACAGGAACATTGTCAGCTGCCACCCAAAAGGATAAGAGAAGTGAAGGAGAACAAAACTCAGCCACACTGTCATTGGGGAGCAGATGGCAGGGATACACAAAGCCTTTTAAGATGTAAAGAGGGTGGCCCTCATGATAAGAAGGAGGAGGCCTCCATCAGCAGCTGGTGGCTCTTCTGGTTGTGGCAGAGGCAACCTGGTAGAGAGAGAGGGAAGAGCATTTTCTATAAGCCACTGGTCAAAGATCTTGGAGGGAATAAAGAGGCAGCTGCACAAAAGGGAGTTTGTGTGCATGTGGCTGCCCTGGTGTCAACTAGGAAGGTGCATCCATCTATACACATGGCCTCCAACATTTACCTGCTGATTTTTAATGATGCGGGCAAAACATCTCAGAAAGATGCAAGTCTTTCCATTGCATTTGTTTTGTCATCACTTATGATGTAACTTTTTGCATTAGTCATCCTGTTCAGTAAACACACTGGCCCAGGATAGACTGTGTGGTATCAAGGTCAGTCACATAGCACATTTCAAAAACACACCAGCAGTTACTGTAAAACACCCGGATATGGTTATCTGTTTACCTAAGGAGAAAGTTTAGAATCAGGTCAAAATGCCCTTTTTGGTGGTACAAAATGGGGGGTGGGGAGTTGGGGCAGGTGAGAGGGGGTTTGATGTTCAGTGAGAAAGGAGGATTGAAAGCTCTGTGGAAATTGCTACTCCTATAATATCAGGTAAGCTTAGAACTACTCAGTGTAGTTTGTGACAATGTGTGAGGTGGTGAGCAACTTTCCCACACTTTTCTCACGCATTTTGAAAAAGAATATATGCCAATGTCTTCCCAGCCCCCAAGGCTTCCTCCTATCTGCCAAAAATAGGCCCATCATCCAAATAAGCAAAACAAAAAAACATGTTTCATAAATAGCATCCCTCTCCATTTTTGAGATAATCCTGTGAATTTATGATTTGGTTTTGGTTTTGCGTTTTGCTTACACTGGACATTATTTTGATGTTATAAAAAGAAAAGCAGCCTAGACAAATATTATCTCAAAAATAAGTTAAGATATCCTGAGCAGGCTCCTACTATACTTCATGTAAAAAACAACAACAAAACCACCCTCAATTTCCTTGAGCAAAATTTCTACCATCTAAACTCGTGCTGGATAAATGAAGCAAAAAGTTATGCAATCATGTGTCCTAATAAAACTGCACTAGCAAGGCGCCTTTCATTTAGCATCAGTGTAATAAGGACAACAATTCATATGAGATGGCTTTCCTTGATATTACTAACCCATTGCTAAAGGGTACGTAGTCTTAGTCCCGGTGTTCTTAATCAGATACCATCTTTGTTTCTTTAAGATTAGGTCTGAAACTAAGACAGCCCATATCTCTCCCTCGCTCTTGAAAGAGATCAGTCCCAGTTGGTTCAGATCTAGGGTAGCTTGAGAGCTACATTCCCCTGTGAGCAACCTTCTGGGGACTACATGCCCATGGTGGTAAAAAAAGGTAAAAGAAAAGGACCGCTGAACGGTTAAGTCCAGTCAAAGGCGACTATGGGAGTGGCGCTCATCTCGCTTTCAGGCTGAGGGAGCCGGCGTTTGTCCACAGACAGCTTTCCAGGTCATGTGGCCAGCATGACTAGGTCACATGACCAGGTCATGTGGCCACCTGGCACAACAGAACACCATAACAGAAACCAGAGTGCACGGAAACACCATTTACCTTCCCGCCACAGCGGTACCTATTTATCTACTTGCACTGGCATGCTTTCGAACTCCTCGGTTGACAGAAGCTGGGACAGAGCAACGGCAGCTCACCCTGTCGCAGGGATTTCAACCGCCAACCTTCTGACTGGCAAGCCCAAGAGGCTCAATGGTTTAGACCACAGTGCCACCCGCATCCCTGTATGTCAGAAGTGGGATGCTGGGCAGGACCAGAGGCAATGGATGTGAGACTCGTACATTTTGTACCATAAGCTACATCCAACCACACAGAGGTTTCTACACAACCACCTCTCCCCAGCTTGCATGCAGTCAAGCATGAGAAATCATCACAGTTAAAGGATACAAACTAGCTAGATAAAAACACTCAAAAAACGGTGAGGGGTATGGCCTGAAGAGAGAGGGGTACATGGTCTGGGAGAGTCACAAGGGTTGGAAAGAAAGGTCTGGAGGGCTGTATTAACAGATACAGAGTGATGGAATTCCCAGATTTTGATGGGTTCGAAATTCACCTGGGCACCAAGGTGGCATCTGATGTCTCCACCATCTGGAGGTGCATTCCTTGGATGTTGACTGTTTTCACACAGTAGCAACACATTCTGTAGAATTCCATCCAATGAATTTCAGGAACCAAAAATTCATACAGTCATACCTCAGGTTACGAACGCTGTGGGTTGCGCGTTTTCGGGTTGTGAACTGTGCCAAACCCGGAAGTACTGGAACGGGTTACTTCTGGGTTTCGGCACTTGTGCATGCACAGGATCACAAAATGACATCACACGCATCCGCAGACGCGGCGCTTCAGGCTGTGAACGCTGCAGGTTGCAAACGTGCTTCCTGCACAGATCACATTCATAACCCAAGCTATGACTGTATTGAAAAATATGATTTTCGAGCCATCTGGCCCCAAAATGGTCAATTAGGCATTCCATTTTGCCAAATGTAACCCTGGTTTAAGGAGCCATTTGGCGCCTAGTTTATATATCTGAGTTTCTAACACAGCCTAGAACTAAGTTAATGAACGAAACATAGTTATGTGGTAAAGTTCAACTACGCAGTAAAGTTGTGTCACAAGACATGAGGAAGGCAGCTTACTCAGTAAGCCAGAATACAACAGAGTCTAAAGATTCCTTTTGCTATGGGGTTAATAAACTCAGAACCATATGAGTGGTGATACACAGGTTATACCTTTACAAGAACTTACCATGATCCCAAGTGATGAGGAGAAAGTTGCAGAGGACACCCCCAGTGATAATGCAAAAAGTGTATGCTACCATTACATGCTCTGTGTTCACCTTTGTGTGAGAAAACAGAGGCCTGAATGGGCTGAGCTTGGTGCACATGTGCTCAGTAAATACACCCATTTCCTGAAAAAACATCCCATGTGGGTTCACTGCAGAATTATACATGTACATGGAAATGACTCACAAAAACAGTGGGAGAAAAACAATAGTAACAAAATAATCAACAGTAATGGGCTTTAAGCAAGCTGTCACATAAGCCTACAAGAAGAGGGTGGGGAGGTGTTGCATCAGAATTAAATTCTAAGGGCACAAAGAAACATGAGGTTTAAGACTATGAAGCCATTTCTATTTCCAACCAAGCAGAAAGGCACTATTCAGCATATTTGCACCAGAAGAGGATTCAAAACAAAACAAAACACCATCGTGCCATCTCAGCAGCAGACACAGGACCCTGATCCGTGCATGCATTAGGAAAAGTTGGTAGAGTACATTGTACCACTACAGGCTGCAGGTGGGATATACCATTTTGAACAATCTTGCAAGTAAAAACAAAATAAAACTAGTCTATCAGCAAGTTCTACCCCAGGCTGTTCCTTGCTGGTTTCTGGTTGCAGGAAGGCTATTTTTTTATTTTAAACTAGGGGGCCATTTAGAAATGTAATCTTTCACCTGCAAACTGAAGTGGCACAGAACATTCTACTTTGTTCTCACCTTGTTCTGACGCAGACCAGGTCAGAGTTTGGTGCAAATGCACTGCCTAATCCACAAACCACTTAAAAGGCTTTAATGCCAGACAAAGGGGAGGGGGGATCCCTTGTCTTACAGAAGTTGCAAACATTACAATATTTGTTTCCTGAGTAACAACAATGCTCATGGACAAGCTTCTATGCTATCACACTGTCCCAAACAACTGGAAATTTCATTTGCTCAAACACAAGGTAGATTGAGGTAACAGTGATCTGCAGTCTTGCTTGCAATCAACCTCATTCCATGTCTTAATGGTCTAAACACAAAGTGGCATATATAGGCAGGACTTGCCTCTTGTAAATGTATGTTACCCACAACAGAAATAATTCTAAATAATGTTTTCACTGCCAACTTTCTTTTTAATTGCGTACAGACTTGTCACTGCAGTTTACACACTCACAAGACACAAAGTTTAAGGTCAAGATTTGATTTTTAAAAATGTGGGCCATCCCTAAATGTGTCATTTCTTTCAATATATTTGCTGCCTGCTCATCTTTAAAACTTATGTTACTGCACTTGCATCAACAGCCATGGTATATTTACATAAGAGCATTCCAGTGGCATTTTAAACCTTTCAGATCAAAATATCTAGGTTTTATAATACTTCTGCCCTTTCACGCAAGACATCTCTTGTGATTTTGAAAATTGTGACACACTGTATTGATGACTAAAGCTTTATTCAACCTTTAGATTTCACAGGCATCTGGGTGGCCACTGTGAGAACAGGATGCTGGACTAGACATGCCACTGTCCTGATTCAACAGACTCTTCTTGTGTTCTCAGAGCATAAATCCTCCATTAAATAATCAATGAATCCATGAGTGACCAATACAGACACAAAATTATCTACGGCCTTATATTTTCTCCTGTATGTTTCACAAATTGCACTGAACACAAATGAACTAATGTTTAAAATATGCTGATGCGCCTAAAAGTTTGCAAAATATCAAAACACCTGTACCTTCAACAACAAACATTCAAGGCAGAAAGTTGAACATTATCAGCAAAGCATAATATTGGCAAGGTAAACATACATTTCAAACCTACAATAATCTGGTTCTCTTACACCTCAGCACAACTCAGCAATTTCAAGGTCTGTGGATGCATCTGCTTTGCACCTTATCGATTATGTTCCAAAATTTCTCAGGTCCCTCTAAATATTGACACTATCAATATGTCCACATGAAATACAGTGGCAAAGGAAAACAGGAGCATAAACGCAGAAATACAAACTGACCAGTCAATCAAATGCTTCCTCATAACCTCACCTCTACAAGTCACTGTAGTTGCACCTGGGAAGAAATGTTTACATATTCAGTTAGCCTGAGATACCAATCTCTCAACACCCTTCAGACTTATAAGGAGGGTTTCATGAGAGAAAGAGAAAGCTGGCCACAAGAAAAAGAGGATATGGCCTATGATGACAGCTAATCATGCCAACAAACAGCACAGAGATCTCATTTTAATTATTTTGCTAGTAAAATAATTTGTATCCCTCCTTCCTGTTGGAAAAGCCACCAAGACACCTAAAAAGAATGATAAAAACAATAGGAAATGCAACACACCATAAACAACACAGCACTTTGGGCAACAGCAAATGAGATACCCAGTCCATCTAATATAAATAAGTTTGCAGTACAGTGGTACCTAGGGTTACATACGCTTCAGGTTACAGACTCCGCTAACCCAGGCTCCGCAGGCTTGCGGACAGCTGCCTGCAGCCCGAAGCCAGGGGAGTGCGGCACTGTGCACCCTGGGCTTCAGGCAGCTCTACGCAACTCCCGCCGGGCTCCCAAGGCTTGCGGACAGCAACCAGCTGTCCCCGAAGCCAAAACAGCAAGACGGGGCGCTGCGCAGCCCTCCGTCTCACTGTTCCAGCTTCGGGATGGCTGCGCAAACCCCCTGCGGAGGCTACAAAGGATGTCCCCGAAGCCTCAAGCCTTTGGAGTGCAGCTGCGCTCCAAAGGCTTCAGGTATCTTTGAAGCTGGCAGTGGGGGAAAGCAGCGCTTCCCCCCACCGCCAGCCCCACAAGCTCGGGGGGCAGTGGCAAGGCCTGCTCTTTTATGCACCTTGAACGCACCTTGTTTTTGAGGGGGAGAACAAGAAAAAATATTTTTTTTCCTATTCTCCCCCTCCTATGGTCCGGTGCGTCCTATGGTCCGGTGCGTCCAATAGAGAGAAAAATACGGTATGTTTTATATTAACTGCTTAGAGCTTTTGATCAAGCAGTGTATAAATCTTGTTAAATTAAACAAAATCTACACATACCCAGAGAGAATTCCATAGCCATGGTGCCATTCCCAAACTGACCTGTCTTGCCTGCCATTACACCTCAAAAAACAGGATGACATGGAACAGGGCTTCAGTAGTTGATCTGAGTGTTCAAGCAGGTGTGTATTAATGCTGCACTGAGCCCAGTCCACTATTTTGTGAAATACTTTGTCCCTCCCCACAAGAGATGGCTCATTCCTGACTCTTTTGCAGATAGTGGAATAATTTATGTGATGTTCTGTGAGGTAGGGTGGGGGGCTGTGCTGACCTCCCCAATGGAACGAGTGGCCAAGAAATCTTTTTTGCCCTGTAAACGTTTTTAAACACCCCCTGTTTAGTCACAATTGTGCAAAGTGCAAGACTCTTTACGCAAAAAGACTTCAGAACCTAGCAGCACTTCCTGGAATGCCGATGGGATTGTGCAACATGATGTAACCATGAATTAAACATGGAAGCCAACTGGCAGCCAATGATATTGGGCTAATATTGAAGTTATTTCTGAATTCTGCAAGCTCCAAGTAGTTCTTGGGCAGCTGCCTTCTGAACCACCTAAGGTTTCCAAGTACTTGTCAAAAGGCAGTCCCACCACAGAGTGCATTACAGCAATGCATTCTGGGCATTACTAAGGTATGGGTACTGCTAGCGAACCAGCCATATCTGCCTTCAGCCTCTGGGTATCCAGAAGTAGCAATAGTTACAGAGGAATCTCCAGGGTGCGAACCTGCTTCACATTCCTGTCAATTAGGAAGTACAATAAGCCAATCGATCTGTACACATTTAGGAAGGCATGTGGATATTGGCATTGGATATTGATATTATATGGAGGAAGGAAATGGGTAACATGATGCTGTGTGAAATGAAAGATTGCAGAACTCATTTCTGGATCTTTACATGCAGAGGCAACACCTGGTACCTGCAAAGCTCCCTTTAAAAAAAAGGTTTCTCTCTTCAAAAGTGTGTTTCCTTAAAGCAAAGTGCAATATGTCTAAGAACAGATATATCATGTGTTAATTCTCTCTCTCTCTCTCTCTCTCTCTCTCTCACACACACACACACACACACACCTAGAGCAGGCCACTGTGCTCCATCAATAAATATATGGTATGAAATGGTGATTCTTTGCCAAAGAACAAGAAGGAAAGCATCCAGCGATCAGCTCTTTCAGACCCTGTTGGGACAATGCAAGCCATAACAACAGCCTCAGAAAGGAGGGGGTTGTGTAAGAGGTCACTATCCTGTGGGCTGCTTTGCAAATCCTTGTTGTTATCCAAATGTATTTGAATCAGCAGAAACGGGAAGCCAAACAAAACCATTTCAGATTGCAAAGCTGGAGCGGGGAACAATAGCTGCCACCTCCAGAAAACAAGAGATCTTTGGCCACCCATGTTTTATGCAGACAAATGAGAACGTGTGCTGCTTCACTCCGGCCATTGAGAGGTCTGTCGAAGGGCTACAGCTGCTTCTTCGAAGAACTGGGTGGCCCGTTCCTTTTCAGCAGCTCAGCAGAGTGTTAAAATCGAAAGATATTACCGCAGAGAGAACTGGGCTTGCACTCCTTTTGAATAAAAACAAGCAGATTTAACAAGGAGGGTGGCTCATCTGTTGCCAAACATTCTATGTGGTGCTAGGAAAACCCTCTGCAAAGTTCAAGCTAATTTTATTAGGGAAGCTTACGTAACAGAACTTTACAGTAGGGGCAGATTTACACATTACAATTGTTGTGGGAAACATCGCCAATATTCCATGAGTGCCCAGATCCAGATACAAAGGTCTTGAAAGATTCACATATGACGTCCATACTTTCAGGAAACACTGATGTTTCATATAGCAACTGTAATGTGTAGAAGTGTCTTAAGCACTGGGGAAGGAGTTCTGCTTAGTTTGCGTTTTAATATGAAGCTACCTAACTGGCATATTCTGAAACTATATGCAAACTGAAACACAGCTACCTTTCAAAATTTGTGCTTCATCAAATTTTGTGATGCAGTTCTCCAGCCAAAAAATATGTATGTGTACTAGGGAAGGTATGCATCAAAATGCATATATAGTGGGAAGGTAACATACCAAAATGTATTATATTAAAGGGAAAAGGTGGCCAAATTATGTATATTTGCCCCCCCCTAAAAAAAGGCATCCAAACAGGTGTATATAAAGAGAATTTGGAATTTATACTGCTGATGAATTTCCATAAGGACTTTTTTTAAAAAAGCAAACCAATGCACAAATGTGGCAAACCTAAAATTGGAAAGAATTAGAAGGTGAGAGAAACCAAACGGACAGATTTTTCCACGCTGACTTAAGTCTTCCTAACACAATACTGTATCAAAATCTGTCCTTTTAGCTGCATAGCCTTGCACAGCAATAAAGGTTGTGGCAGAGTGCATGCAAACTTTAATATTCAAGATGCATGTGTTGTGGTGTTTACTTGCAGTCATGATTTCCTACAACTACTTCTCATTTTTGACTGATGTTCCCCGAGTTCACACCTTAAGTCTCACGTCTCACGTCTGCTATCATTTCTTGGAGCCATTCCAACCAACTACATTTGAGCAGGAATAGTATTAAATGTGCAACACATTATTAAAAGACTGGGTTTTGGTATAGGTCTGTGCTTCCATTGCCCCTCACACCCCCAGACAAATGAAAGGTAAATGCTAAAAGTTACTTGAAAAATACAACCCCTTGTCTGCCAGAGACCAATGCAATTAGAAGAAAAAGAAAACATGGTTCTAATTTATTAATGAACATTTGCTGCCTGTAATTCTACTGCACTTATTCCATTACAGCTTGACATTTCCTATTGTCACTGCTTGCATTTCTAAACAGTTCCACATGACTAGAGCTACTCTGTGCAACTCGCTGAAGACTGTTAATAAAAGAGGAGAACTGGGCTGTATAAGCATGATAATATCTGGCCACATGCTGTAAGATCCACTGGATAGCAAAAAGGAATCCCCTTCTCAGATATTTTCTAAACATTTTAGTTTTACATACACAGGCATATTTCAACATCCTCCAACATACACACACAGCGTTTTTCCTTAGGTAAAGTAAGGAAGGGGGGAATAGTTGAATAGTTCTCTCACTGCCCCCCAACCATGCATGAACATAGATAGTAAGCCCCTTCTGAAACAGAAGGGATTTGAGGACCACAGAAGAGTCTAAATGTTGAACTGCTTTCAAAAAACATCTTGCATAGCAGGTAAAACCGGCTAATGCACGCAGCTGCTTTGAAGGAAGTCATCTCAAAAATAAGCAAACCATAGTAGTTTAGGAAAGATTGTTAATGGTATCAGGGCAACCTACTTTACTATCCGCTCAGAAACACTGCAGCACCTTTATCCACCGCAGAATCCTGCAATGTCATTTCAAACATATAAACATAAACATAGATCATGTTTCCGAATGAAATATTTGGGGGACAGGGAGAACAAGGGCTACAGGTGATGGTTCCACAATAATACAACACATGCTGCTCAATTGGCAAGGAAGCAAGATCCTCCACCTCGTGTCTGTTCATAGAATATAATAAGCCTCTATTAGATACCACTTCAGTATAGCTCTGGCCTACTATTGGAATTTTGGAGCCAGCAGTTGCCACAGAAAGCTTTAAGGCTTGCTGAATTTCCAAGGGAAAGAAAGAAAAAATGTTTTCAGAATTTCTAGGTCACATTTCTACCCCTTCTGGTCCAGAAAACAGGAATGCAAGTAAATTTGATGAGCCTAAGGACCACCTCACATAAGATGTCCATGGGCTGTACTGCATCTTGCAGTCTCTCCCTCAGAACCATACAACTGATGTGTGTGGCCCCAGACTGGGCAAGCACTTCACACGCTTTCAAGACACATAATCAGGAGAGCGGGGAAAAGAGTGTGAGACAACCTACTCTTCCCAAGCCCCAAAGCTTTCCAATCTACCCTTTCTCTTATTGTGCTGAGCTGCAGCAAAGAAAAAAATAAGAAATGCAGGGAAACCCAGGCTACCTTTGCTCAGTCTCCAGGTGAGTTGCCCTCTGACCACATATAGCTGGTAAAAGGGCAACACACCATTCCTCGGACTAAAGACAACAGCAGAGTCGCCACAGCAGCAGCTGATGGGAAGCAAGTACAGTGGTTACAATGGGAGCGGTTTGAAGGGAAGTGAGGCAAATAGGAGGCAGCCTGCCATTTGGCTAATCATCCCGCAGCAGTTGCTACTCACTCTATGAGAGCTGATAGGAAGCAATTGGCACAGCTAGGTTAATGAAAAAATTAATGCTCTCATGAATGTGGAGCAGTTTACTTTTGTAAACTGTTATATAAATTATTGGAGAGTGACTCATTATTTTGACCTTGTTTTTGACCAACATAACACAAAATGTGTCTCGGTCATCTTTGATCACACAAGCCTTTTATTATGTTATCCATTTTCTAACCTAAAAGCTCTGACTTTACGTGCCTTTTTAAAACATGTGCATTTTAATAAAAGCACCTAAATTAATTTCTCAGTCAGCTTGCATTTAGGTTACCAAATGTCAGGATCTAAAACCCGCAGTCAGTGGCAAATCTTGGCCCATCAAATCTCAGCGCACCAGCAGACCTGTTTTAGTGGAATGAGGAACCCAGAGCAATAATAAGTTCTTAATAAGTCAAAGATGAGCCATGAGAGCTCACAGAGACCTGAGCTCTGACAGACTTGCAAGGGACTCACACTTCAGAGGGAATAGCTAATAGAGCTGATTAGAAAGCGGCATTTTAAATTGCCTGTGTGATGTCGCAGGAGCAAATCTATCATGGAAACATGCATTGGAACCTCAAGAACATTCCTTCTTACCTAAGACAAGTTTGTCACACATTAAGACAGCATGCCTAGTTTCAGATGTCTGTGCAGAAGCAATTAATATTTCATATCGTTATTATTAAAGTTATTTGATTGTATTGTTTTTAATTGCTGAATTTTATTAACTGCTGCAAACTCACTAGAAGGGTGCGATATAGGTTTATAAGAAAGTAAATAAATTAATAACAGGGTCTACATTGCAAACCACTGAGCTCTTTTGTGTTGTTAACAAATACTATGCAAAGTTATTTAGGCTGATAATTTGTATTCATTTATTGAATTCAATGGGATGCGTTTCTGAGTACATAGGAATTTGCTTTATAAGTCAGACTATTAAGTCCATCTAGCGCAGCACTGTCAACTCAGACTGGCGGCTGCTCTCCAGAGATTTAGGTAAGGATCTTTCCAAATCCTACCTGCAGGACCAGGGATTGCACCTGGAACCTTTTGAATGAAAAGCACGTGCTCTAGCCCTTCCCCCATTGGAGTAAATCTATGGGATTGCACAGCTAAAATCCTTATATTGTAATGTGGTGGTTCTCCTCCCAAACAGGCCCACTCTACTCAAAACCTACAATATGAAAACTTTTTAGTATTCCAGTTAATAGATGGGGGTAATTGATGCTGAGAGACAGAAACTTGTCCAATGTCACACAGTGGATTTAGGAATTAAATCATTCTCAAGAAACATAGCATAATAGTGCTTGCCGGAATAATACATATTCTTAACAAATAGAAATATACATCATATAAAACAACAGTGAATAAATTGCTTACCTGCACATATTTTATGTTCTATTTCTCATCAATTTCATTTTGGTTTCAGATTGCATAAGCTACTTCCTGTAGGTCTCCATCATCTACAACATAGGATCTTGTGCTGGTGGTGCTGGTAATGCTATCTTGGGCTCACTGACTGAAGAGACAGCCTAAACATTCAGAACACCCAAGGGGGGGGGAGAGAGAATAACTCTGAAAATGAGGGAAATCTTTCCAAGTAATCTTTGACCAGAGCAAATAGCAGCACTAGGTTCAGTGAGAAACCACTATTTTCCTGTTTGAATATTCCTGCAATACTCACTCTTTTCTACTTTTACTTTTAGACAAGGCAAAAGTTGCATCCCCTTACAGAAATGTGATCCCATTCCTGCAATAATGTGTAGAACTACTTTCCACAAGATTCCTCGTCACATTATGAAACCACACTTCCACCTCACAACTTGGTGCCATCAGGAAAACAGAGTATGAGTGCAGAGACTCAGAAAATGACAGCGGCAATCCACACACTGAATAATGAAATGAGTTACATATCTTTCAGGGCCAGCCCTACCATTAGACAATGTTAAGTCCGTATCGCAAGCAACAGATGCTTAGGCACAATGGCAGCAGCCCCTGGCTGTTCCTCCTAAGGTCCCCTGGTCTTTCCCTTCCTTTGGAGAACAGAGCTGTGTGGTGCTTCACGGCATCTCTTTGCACACCAAAGCTATGCTTTTGCCTCAGACTCATGATGGAGAGCACAATCCCATCACCAACATTGAATCAAGATTCACCTAACAGTCCAGTCAGCTTACATACTTTGAATGGGGGTCACCATCTTGTGTTCCACCAAAAACAACAAAATATATTGGGCAAGATCTGGGACCAGTTAGCACAGAAAACCCGTTTAGGGCAATATTCTCCTAGCAAATGCAATGTACTGTGCCGCAAAGTCATGTATGTTTAAGAACTGAAGCACACAATCAGAAGAATCACATGAACCCCTCTTGCTGGGCTATACCATTTCAGCCTGTAAATGGGAGATTGTCTGTATCTCCCCGCAGACACAAAGAACACATGTCTGGAGGAGAAAATCCTAGCTTACCTTCTCCCTGACATGCTAGTTGGCGAGGCAAACATCTGCCCTCCATCCTTCAAACCTCATGGGGGTCCCACGAGATGCAGCATACAAAATTCTCCTCAAGGAATATTTACAAGGGTTAGCCACTCCTCCACTGTTATACTGAAGTGTGCTTTGTTAGTATTCCACATTGCTGCTGATGTTGAATCGTAAGACGGAGGAAGGCTATTGTTAAGACAGAAATTGCCTCAATGGATGTGCTGTAATTCCACAGAACCTTTACTCTGCCTGCAACTATTACTCTATGTAGCCACAGCAGATATTCCATTATATACCACAAAGGGCCACTGTGGCACACACTGAATATGCATCTTAAGACAATGTATAAGAGCTTGCAGTTAATTTCTTCTCCTTCGTGCTAAGTAAGAGAGGTATGGCAGGCCACCTGAGAGCTGCCTCTTCGGCAATTTATTACCCTCTACTGTTCCTTACAGGTTCTAACAGATGACAGCCATTCGCTTTTAACAACATATTGCCTATGTCAACAATGAAATAATTTGCTTTATGGTGAGTGTATGATTCCCCCCCCCCATCTGTATTCCACCTCTGTATGGAAACTCTGTCGCTACTGGCCACCAGCTCTCCTATTTTAACAGCTGTGAATGTACCATGAGGTTTCCCACCCCACCACCCCAGATCCTGGAATCCCTTCAACATGAAATGCATTAGCATACTAATTGGCCGTGAGGGTGTTCCATTAGTTTTGTTTTATTTTGTTTTGCATTCATTCTAACATATACACTGAATTATCAGAGGCTGACAAATGTGACACACTCTTAATCCTGGGGTGCCATGTTGTCTACAGTACAATCAGCAGCTACAACAAGAGCACCATATAGCCTTTTTTTGTGATGTATTCCAGTGGTTGAGGCCTAAGGACAATGAAAAGGTATTTGAAGGAGTTCAGCTTTCCATCTATATTTGCTTGACCCTTACCATTCCTGGCTTATATAAAGCATCTATCAGGAGAGGACTGACCAACTGGATGCAGAAGATAATTTATTTTATTTTTAACACAAAATGTAATGCCTCCTTGCAGGAAATCATTGATATGCTGCCCTAAAATAAATATTCAGTAAACCCAAAGAAATGTAACAAATGCTCACCACAAATTTCACCTTCTCGGGTAAGATGCTCATGGCAGTGGCTGCTGGGAAATTATTGGGTGGACCCATTTAAATTTGGCTTTGGCATGGAACAGGCTTGATCACTCTGACGCATAACCTATCCTGGAAAAAGAACAGGAGGAATCTGACCTTGCTAATTCTCCTCAAACTTTCAGTGGCTTTCAATACTAGATAGTTCTGATGGACTATCTGGGATGGCAACTGACTCCCAGCTGTCCAGTTCTCATTTTGATGGCAGTCTCGAGAAGGCGGTGCCAATGGTGGGTCTTGGTAGCTACAGTATGGTGTGGAGCAGGGCTACATCTTGTCCCCCATGCTATGAAATATATACATGAAACCTCCGGCGACAGTCATCTGGAGAAGTTGGGTGATATATCATAAATATGTAGAACATCCAGCACTGTTTCTCTTTTTCATCAGAATCAGGGAGTGCTGCAGCTGGGGGCAGTGTCGGAAGGCATGAATGGGCTGAATGAGGTCCAATAAGCTTAAGCTTAATCTACACAAGAAGAGGTACTGTTACTGGGTGGTTTTTCTGACTTTGGAGGTTGTGTTCAGCCTTGGCTGAACGGCATTGCACTAAGGATTAGGACTGCAGTTTGGGGGCGATGCCAGATCTGTCTCTGGAAGTCCAAATGGATTATAGGGGCCTTGACCCTTTTCACAACCTCTGGCTAGTGCAACAGCTACATCACTTCTTCAATGAAACTTGACCACTGGCCTACAGTGGTACCTCGGGATGCGAATGGGATCCGTTCCGGAGCCCTGTTCGCATCCCGAACGGAATGCAAGATGTGACGGCACGTCTGTGCGTGCGCGGGTCGTGTTTCGCTGCTTCTGCGCATGCGCGAGCGGCGAAACCCAGAGGTAACGTGCTTCATTACTTCATTACAGAGCACAACTCGAACGCGCTTAACCCAAAGCACATTCATCTCGAGGTATGACTGTATTTGGGTTAGCTCCTGCTTGAATTACTATAATGCATCGTGCTTTGATTACTGAACATTCTGCACAGCAAGAGTCACCAATATGGTTCCTGTAACTCACAGGGTTTTCTCCCTCCACTGAAATTAGGCTTAAAAGAAGCATCCTACAGTAGTCAATGGGGTGGGTTTCAGTGTGTGCTCAGTTGCAGCGTGCGTGCGCTGCCTACAACAGTTTTTCTTGCTTGAAATGGGCCCTCGAGCCTAGAAAGGTTCACAACCTCTGCTGCACTCTACCCTGTGCAATAGATCCTGTACAAGTATGACCTGCTTGGACTTCTGTGATGCTATGTAAATGTGGAGGCCCTTGCAAGACTCCTTGGGAGCTTCAGTTACAAAATACAGTGGGTGGTCTATTAGCAGTTTTTATCTTACTTTAGAATATTTACACACCACCCTTTGCAAAGGCTGTTTTATAACAAAATAAGTACATAAAAGTACAGTGGTACCTTGGTTCTCAATCTTAATCCATTCCAGGAGTCCATTCAACTCTCGAAACTGTTCGAAAACCAAGGTGCAGCTTCCGATTGGCTGCAGGAGCTTCCTGCACTCAATCGGAAGCTGCGTTGGACATTTGACTTCCAAAAAATGTTTGCAAACCGGAACACTCACTTCCAGGTTTGCAGTGTTCAGGAGCCAATTTGTTCCAACAACTAAGCCATAAAAACACAATTTGTTAGAAACACACAACAACCAAATAAAAGTTACTAGTAGCACCAACAGCAACAACCAGAACAGCAACCTCCTCCAAACATTCTTCGAAAAAGTCTTCACCCATCCCTTAAAGCTGTAAACAAATAAGGCTCAGTCTTGGATTGAAGGAGACACCACTGAAAAAGCCCTTTCCTGGGCTCCCACCCACTATGTACCTTATCCCACGTAGTGAATATGAGGAGGCCCCATGGGCTGATATGAAAGCACAGGCAGCTCGATATGGAAGGAGGTGTTCTTGCCAGTGAACGAATTCTCCTGCTCAGCACATTTTTCACTACATTCATCCAAAAGTGCATAAAGTAGCAACTTAGGAAAAACAATTCAAATAAAACACTTAAAAGTTTAGACATCTGCATCTGAATTCTAGCTGGAAGGCACTGAAGCAAAAAAAAAAAAAGGAACGGAGAAAAAAAATAGCCTTTGAAGAGCTGATCATTTTATAACACGCAGAAAATGTGCTTCTTTGGCTATGTACCTAAACAACTGCCTCTATTAAAAACTACGGCACCATTTTGGTTCCAGACGGCATGCAAAATAATTCATAAATGACAAAGATCAGTGGGCTCGGTGCAGCTGTTGAACGCCTGCACTTTGGCCACCCACTTCAGTGGAATTGAGAGCTTTCGATCAACTCCCAACTCTCACAGGCCTTTGAACAGTACCAGAACATGTGTTCGATACTTTAAAAAAAAATAATCTGGAGCCAGCCAAATATGAAGGATTAGCAGGCCAGGCAATCTTGCAAGTGCACCCAAGGATCTCCTCCCCATTTTCCGTTGAACTTTTTTTTTATCAAAAGTCTTCATGGGAAACATAAGTTCAACAAAATGATTTCTGCCCTTCCTTCTCAGCTTTTAATCTTCACAGATTCTGTAAAAATAACTCAGAGCATTAGCTACTTCTATTTCTAATTAGCCGATTACATTTGTTACTGCGACAGCCAAATAATTTAATATATACCCAAGTCAGAATACAAGCCCAAGTTTTATTTCCAACTTTGGCACTGCCGTTGTTTGTTTGTTTGTTTGTTTGTTTGTTTGTTTAATAAGGTTTTCTTTTCACCT